CTGAATGCACCGTGCAAGGAGCTGCTGCTCCTGCCCAAGCAAAGATTGGACATGGGACAGCAAAACCGCTTCTGAGAAGAGCCCTGCCATACAGACGGAATTACGAATTCTGGCTGTTTGGAGATTTTAGACATTAAAAGATCCCCAAAACAGCTGTATTTCTTATGCAAATCCTTAGCCAAATGGGAACTCCAACTATTAAATAAATTGCTTGCCCTCTGTTAAAAGGATGATCATCTAGAAACCCAATAATTTGGGGGGGGCAGGTTTTAAGAGGGCAAAGCACTCTTACAAACAGCATTTCTCCCCTGTCCTGTGAACTATTGTGCTATTGTGATTTTACAGTGCTATTTCTCTACTTTTGCAGGATTTTTCTCTTTAATGTTATGTGGAAAACCCTGAACAAAAACCGGCACTTAATTCAGAGTAAACAGTGGCAGCGACTGAATAGAAACCTGATGTCAAATATACAGCCACCCTGGGAAAGTGAAAATCCATTGCTTTCTCATCTCTTCCAGTTGTTGCCTTCTTAAGTGTATTATTCATAAAATTAGCGGTTTAAAAATGCATAGAAACATTATTTTTTATATTCATAGCGTCACTTTGAAAAAGAAATGGTTAAAAATCGATTTGCTGGCCTCTTGGGGAAATGCCGTAATGCTTTTGGCTGTCTCCTACTTTCTGCTGCCAGCTAAAAGTACCATCTGGCTTGTTTAGGGCCCTTTTCCATATCAGGTGCTTCCAAAATTCTCCCCAACCAGAGGATTGTTTCGTTGGGTTGCTCTGCCTGCCGAGGCATGTGTCCTGGGCTGGGAATCCTCCCGCTGCTGGTCCCTGCCATCTTGCTGACGGTGGCGGGCGGATGATGTTTGGGCACGGATCTTTGCCGCCCCTCTCCCAAGGACATTTGCATCGTTGTCAGCTGCACATATTAAATTGATATGCAGGGCTCAGAAACACGGATCCCGCCTTTTGTCCCTTTGTTTGGGCAATTGTTGGGGGTTTAATTCTTCTTTGACACCTGGAATATCACAAAGCTGCCGATAATCTGTTGGCTACTCCGGGAAATGACACTGATAGAAGGATAATGTGTGTCAGACTCATATCTAGATAATTGCAGGCGCATCCCGAACCCTCGCAGCTCAGGGAGCGAATATCCTAAATCCATTATTAATTTGGAGAGTCATATGTGGCAGTTGGCTGCGGTGTCATCCTCTCGCTGCAAGAGTCAGTTGCAAGGGATTTTAAAAGCCAGTTTGGGCGAATTCTGCATTGCCGTGTCAGGTTATGCCTGATACCCGTCAGTTTTGCTACGTTCTTGCTGCCATTTCGTGGCAGCACAAGGAGCTGTAACAAAATGGGGTTGATGTCCTAGCTCCTCACTGAAGGAAGCTTCTTCCCATGTGCCTTCATAGCAAGAAGACGAGAACCATATGTAGTGCCAGTTGACGGTGCCACTCCTCCTCAGGACTCTTTGCTTTTCAAATTTGCTGGTTTACTTTGAGATCCCCTCAAAGGATTTAGGAGCAGACTTGAAGTATTGTAGCAGCTAAGTATAGGCTTTTTGATGTGATCCTATGGAAAGAGGGAGCGTGTTTTGAAATAGCTACTGCCGTAAGCTGTCTTGTCCTATTTCTGAAATGATCTGTGCCATACACTGCTGACTTTTCCTGTCCATCCATTAAAAAGTGAATTATGAAGAGTGCTGAGACAAACAGATAGTACTTTAACCTTGTTAGTAAATATCAGGTAGCTGATATATACTGCTAGGATGTTACATCACAGCCTTTCTCTTCAATATAGGTTGACGAAATTAAATCTTGTTGCTATATAAACTGCCTTGGCAGTGTACATTCTTCCAGAGGTTTATTGTTCTCTGGATGTTGGCACAGCGGCATGGCTCCAAAGAGTCAGTTCACGATGCGGTGAATTTTCAAGACTTGGGAGATGGCCATATCTGGTTTTCAGTAAAGGAATGAAAGTTGGGTTTTTTTCCCCCTAAAGTATTAAAAGTTTCAAAAGATGTGCTGAAATGAAAAGCGAATAATAACTAAAGAGCAGTGCCTCAGAGTCCTGACTTTCTTTGTTTGCTTGTTTGCCCCAAAATCTTCATCTTTTCAGTGCAAGTTAATATTTCAAATCAAATAAACCTGCTTTGTGAACTAGTAAGATACTTGAGCTATATCACACACTATTCATTTATTTTTGTGTGAGCGCAATAAAAATTTTACAAGCTGTAATCTTGTTCTTTTAATAGAGAGAAAACTATGCAGAATATGTTGCTTAGGGTATTAGATAAGCTACAGTGTGTTAATCAAATATTTTCATGATATGAGGGCAGTTGAGAAAACAGTGCAATTTTTGCTAATGGCACTGGTAAGTAAACGGATCTATCATTACATTGTCATGAAAAGTGACATTGAGCAGAAACACCCTGCCAATCCCTAGAAGATAAGTATTTAATGTAATTAGACAGACACTGTCTCCTTTGTTGAACGTAGCATTAATCACCCAGAGAAGTCCAACTTTATATGAAATGGCTTTTTCTGATATGTCTTTGTATTAGAAAGCCTCTTACATGCTTTTGTCACAATGATAAATTTGAAGAAATGACTGCTGCAGCTACAGGGTTTTCCTCATGACATACCTTGCTGTTCTGTGTTTTTATTTTATTTTTAATTTAGCAACGTTACATTATACAGCCGTGACTTGTTTCTGAGTCTAGAAAGCTACCCGCATCTGGAGCTGAGCCTCTTTGAAGCAGTTAACGCATTCAATTTACGAAATATCCAAGAAACACAAATAGCTCCCATTAAGTTCTGCAGTTCTTCCCGCGTGGTGTGAGCACAGGGTCACTGTTATGGCACAAGCAAAACGTTTCTTGCCTCAGATGCTAGTTCATAATACTACACAAAAAACAACAACAACAACAACAAAAAAAACTTCTTTCGATGAAAATCTCATTGCTAAATTGATGAAAAATGTTGCCCCCTTCCAGAATTCATTGGCACTACATTTTTTTCTTTTTCTTTTGCTTGCGATTTTGCTGTGAAATGCTGTGTGGTTCTGAACTGGTAGCAACTTGAAAACGGGAGCGCAGCTGCGTCTTCCCACCTTCCCGGCGGTGCCGAGGGCTTTGAAGGGGAAGAATAGGGTTTAGTCCAAATGACAGCGCACTTCAGCGCCCAACAGGTGGAGGTCAAGTCGGTTTATTTGTTGGGATGAACCGAACGCAGAGATGAAAAATCTTTGCCGTAATAAGGTTTAGGAAGAAAATGCTGACTAGTCTAAGCTTTGATTCCAGCTGACAGGTCCTTTTCTAGTGTTCATTACTTGATTTCACAGTTCAGGCAATTTTAAGAGGCTTAAAATTATATTTCTGCTTTTCTCTATAAAACTTTTCGATCACTTTCTAATTTTTGCTTTAAGTAAAGTTACAGGGACTCCCTACTATATCACTCCTGCCTTTAGAACCTTCCAGAGTCAAGACGCCATCAAAAATGAAAAGCTTTTTTTTTTTTAGACCCCTACTTTTACTGATTCCTTTTATAAATGAAGTAAAAAATTCCCATTTCCCACCGATTCGATTAGAAAACTAAAACTGCAGAAAAACACCCCTGAAAAAGCGGATAGAAAAGGACGATGTTTAGGAAGTCACTGTCGGGATATTGAGCCCTCAGAGGGCTGAGCTGTGGGTGCGCGAGGCCCTCTCAGGTTCGGCGTCACTCCTTTCCCGCCCTTTTTCTGCCCCCGCCTGCTTCCTACCTGCTGGAGCGGGCAGCGTAGGAGTATCTTTAGGCATTTGCTAAAAATCGTCCCCCTCAGCCTTTCTATTACTTCTGCATTCATTCTTTGCAGGGAGAGGAAACTCACTGGTCAAACCCTTGGACACCAGAATAGTTGCATGCAGTTTCCCAGGGAGCCAGATAGCTCTAAAGCTTCCCAGTGAGTGACAGTTTCTCTCTTCTATTCTTCTGAAACATGTGTTTTACACATATACTGACAAATGTTAATAGCAATTTACAGCCAGATTCTTGCTTTAAAAAAAAAATTATATATATATATATAAAATCTCCCAAAGTATACACACTGCGAGCACCTCAGCACACATGTCACTTTTTTACGTAGGAAAAAGTGTTGGATGCTCTTATACACATAACATCATTGGGCTCGAAAGCTGTTAGCTCATTGCGAGTTAGTGGCAAGAACGCTGGACTTGCCAGCACCAAACTGTGAAACCTTTTTTGTGTGTGACGAGTAGAAATCTCACGGGGGTAGAAATCCAAAAAAAAAAAACCAAGGGGAGGAGGGGGGTGTAAATCTGTGCATTTGGATTCGAGTAGCTTCATTACCACGATATCAACTTTGTCCTGGAAGTCCTTGAATCGCAAATCACTGAGAGAGTATTTTGGAGAATTATCACTGTTTGCTTTCCCCGGTCTCTTACTCTTTCCGAGGCACCCATTAGTTACCAGTGTCAGAGAGAGGATACTGGGCGAGGTGGATCCCTGTAATCTGATTTGGCATGGCTATTTTTCTGTGTTCCTAAGCTCATGAGATAGAGTTATGTAGGATTATTTCCTAATGCCAGAGCAGCAGTTTCTGAGGGTCGACAAAGCTATCTAGCAAAGTGTCTGATAAAAGCAAAATCCTGTCCCATACTGTAGCTTTCTTGGTCCAGTGAAGCAGCATCCTCATGCATACAAATCTTGTAAAGTTACTTCTGATAGCTCCCTCTGTCCCTTTGTTTTTGTAAGCTAAAGTGCCATTTTCCTTTTTACAGCTTAATTGAACCTAAATGCGCCCATTTTCTGCAATGTGGTATTTTGGTAATTTTACTATTTGCTCCTAAGTTTTCCCTTAAGCAAACTGAAAGCTTCCCCTTTATCACTTCACTGGGCCAAGATTTCACACAGTATCCTGCTTGCTACAAAATATGATAGTGTTCTCTCTCACCTTGTTTCTTTTTTTTCTTCTTTTACTTTCTTTTATAAAATCAGGATATCTAAGAAACCCCGAACACCGCGGAGCACTACATGGTGGGTGTGCTTATTCAAACAATGCCAATGCTCTCGTTCTCGGTGCATCGCCATTTGGTGTGGGGTGGGGGGCTGTCCTCGGTGTCCCTCTCCTGTGGGTTCTCCGGCATCTTGCGAGGAGACAGCTCGTGCCGAGCACTTTCCCAGCGCGACAGCACTTCTATGTTACCTCTGCCCTTCCCATGCCTGTTTTCATGAAATTCGCAGGGTTTTTTTCCCCTTTGAGCCCTCTGTGTTTTAAATTGCACAGTGGATGAGAGAGGTGTTGGGCAGATCCCACAAGCAGACCTGGTCACACACGGCTCTTCTGGAAATGGTGCCAAAGCCAAACCGCTGTCCTCTGCCTTCTCTGCAATTTTATTTCTTTTCTATGGGGGTTCTTTGTTCCTCCCCAAATCTGAAAGCCATTGGGAATGCAGAAAAACGAGGCTGATGTCACCTATGCGGTATCGCCGATCTGTTGGAGAGCGGTTGAAGGCTCTGGGAGCTGCCAAGCCTTCCCCCGGCGCTGCCGGTGCCGTTGCAGCGGGCGCTCACTGGCGTACAACTGGCAGTGGCCACTTTCCAGTTAAAGAGCACAGCAGCTGTAGGTCAGCTACAAATTCTCCTTTGTGTTATGGAGAAATGAGATGCCCGTTCGGTCCTGTGACCGTCAAACCTAGGCAGTCATATGGTCAAAATAGCACGAACCGCTGGACAGCAAATACATAACAGTTCCATGAGTACACTCTTGACCTGTCAAATTAGAAATCCATCTCAGTTTGGTACAATGCACATGAATTCAGTTTGCAGCTCTTTCTCTCTTTGGGATAATGTTTAAACTCTTCACCTCAAATTGTGCAGAAATCAGGTGACTTTACGGTACGTGGTAAATTACCTGAGCTATTTTCAATCCTGACCGCAGCTCTTTTACTAATTAAAACATATGTTCAATGGCAGCGTATACCGATTAAGTTTTCAAAACCAATATTAACACCAAACTTAGTCTTGTCATCATAAAAGTCATTTAAAAACATTACCATGCAGTAACTGAGGTCACAGGTCAAAAAAATCTGCATATTTACCCATCTCCATCTCATGCCTTTGGCGTTCAGCAGCCATCACTGTTATATATAGCCTGGGCAGCCAATGATCCTTTGATGGCATGCAAATAATGAGCAAATGATTTTGGAGAAAATAAAATTAAAAAAAAAAAAAGAAAAGAAAAGAAAAACTGACTCCGTCCTCTTCAGTTACTAAAATTCCCTTTAGTATCCCTTGCAATTTAGCATCCATATGCATCTACGATATAGTGGAAACATAAATCTATTCTGGGTCTTTTACTTGCAAAAATATCATACCTCAGCTATAATCATATGCAAAGACTTTTTAGAGGGCTTTGTAAATGCCATCCAAATTTATGATGGCATTTTTTGCCTTACAGCTATAGATGTTCCATCCCCAAAGCACCCACATAAAGGTATATTCTCCTATGGATGGCTGCAGTTTGTCCCTGCTGCTATATCTAATCTGCCAAGTATGCTGAAAAACTCTCAAATAACATTTGAAATGAAACAAATGTGGTCATGAATTTTAAATGACGAGATGTCAAAAGACGTCATTAGAATGTTTTTTGTTGTTCTTATTACAATAAATTTTTGTACAACGTAAAATGATACTGAAACTGGCATTAAAGGGAAAACTGAACTATTATCTTGCTGTTTACTATGCTTCTCATTAAAGTTTTTAAATATAAAAGTCTTGAAATTATATTTTGAAGAAATCTGTAGTATGTTGAGTCCTAGTCTACTAGTTATTGAAAGAACCGCTTGGCTTGACAGAGGAGAAATGAAGGCGAACTTCAGAGATCTAAAACGATCCAGACAATGCTGTAAACATAGATGCAAACAGAGAGGCTAACACTCTATGGGAACATTGCACCAAACAATTTAAGGCAGATTTTAATGGGGGAGGGTTTTAAGATACTGGTGAATATTGTAGCATTAAGTTTTAAAATTCTGTAGGCAAGATTTTCCATCACTATAAAGGGATATTTCTCCTGTGTAAGTGGAGCAGCGCTCATTTACAAAGGAGAAATTTCAACCTTCTTTTTCCTAAGTGACATCAGAATTTTGATTATAACTTGAATTATCATTTTTGGCTAAAAATTGCTGAGAAGTCCAAAAGCATTTAAAACCTAAAGCCATTGAATCCATTTAATGCGCCTTTGGCACCTCTCACTCTCAGTCCTTTTTGAACATTCTGGTCCTCATTTTAATCAATCTCTTTTTATTAAGTTCTTTGGCTCATTTACTTGTACTCGCATTTGCTTTATTTTATTTGGAACATTTCTTTTGTAGTGTCTTGAAAAAGAGTTGTGACATTTCTTTTGGATAGCTTCTTAAGTAGCTGGCAGTCACCTATGAGACGATGTTGATGGGCACGGACAGATTAGCTCTGTTTTCCTGATGATCTGTCAGATGTCGAGTTCTGAGGAAACGGGTTGTGTGTGGCGGTGATGCATATGCAGCAGTTTGATAAGTGGATGGAGGGGGAGCTTTGCATTTTTCTTCTGTAAAATCGCTGTTTATTAAGCTGGGTTTAGGCTTGTTGAGTGAGGTGCTCACCAGCAGGAAGTTCATCAGCGATCGCAGTGGCTCAAAATACGATGAGGAGAGTGAGTGTCCGTTCAGAACGTAGAGACTAAAGAGCACTTCATTAGGAGGAGTGGGTTTCCTTCTGCGTTGTGTTTTGTGTACGCTGGAGCAGCTAATACAGTCAACTGATGGATGGCAGTCAGCGCGATCGTATCTTAGCTGATGACAAATAAAGTTTGCTCAGCACTAAGTAGAGCAGACTCGCTGTGACTGATGGTAGTAAAGCTATCAAAATTGCCAGAAGCTTGAAATTAAGAATTCCCCAGTGAACAGTTGATCAGCATTTCTGTTGATACTGATTTTGGCGAAATTGCTGGAATAATTTGCACAGAAGTATGAAAATTCCTTGAAAAATTCTTCCTGTGTACCAGTTTTCTCTTCGACAGCCAATGTGTTTTTCTGCACCATCTCTTCGTTCTGCATGTTGTTGAGTTCATGGTCCACCTGGTGATATCTGAGCTTCCGTGACTCCTTTCCGTAGTGTCCCTTGGGAATGACGACCCAAACCATATTCCATTCATAGCTTTTGTTACGAAATCTCCATCAAGATTCTAGTGGCAATATTTGGGTAATTATCCAGAAGTCACTTTTGGAGATTAATGTTAGCTGATCTACAAGTGTGGCTACCTTGAGTTATTGTTTAAGATGTGTGCAGTCAGAATAAAATCAGTAGTTAATCAAGTGCAGTTGGATGGATAAACAGATGTAGATGGGGATATAGCTATGGATTTGGAGAGAAGGGGAATTGTTCTCCTCTTACACTGCTGCTACTCCATTTGCTCCATGAAAGTTAATCCTCATTTCGGTCCCTCTGTTAGTAAGGTGCATAGGTATGTGGAAAATAGGGTCAGAGATATTTATTTGCTCTGGGAAGGATTTGTGCATTCAATTCTCACACATCATTTTCTGGTCCATTTAAATACGTATCAGCCTCATGCATGAAAATTTGAAGCTCTTTAGCTGTACTCAAGGAAGACTCTTATGTGGTGCGTTTCTAGTACTGGCAAACGTGAGGTAGAGGAATTAAAACCATCACAGTGCTGCAGTGCCCCTTAGAAGATGAGGAACATGACGTATTCCTGTGCATTCACTGATTAAACTTGGGCTGGAGGTTTGCGAAGTGCAGAGTTTTGGCAAGTCTTTCTGCGGGACTTCGACATCCGTGCAATGGCTCCAGTAACCAGAGTCTCTCAAGGACAAGGATCCCATTTACGCTTGCATTATGCACTGAGCAGAAGGGTGTGATGCATGATGTGGAATGAACCAAATAACTTGTGTGTTTAGGGAAATGCCAAATTAATGAAAATTCAGAAAGCTCTAATGTTGAAAAGGCACACAAATTCCTTGATAGAAACACAATGCTGCTAACAGTTTCAAGATTATTGTTGTCTGAATTTTCTGCTTATTGTGTACTGCAGTTAAAATTCTTTTCAACTGAAAAACCAATGTCAAATTAATATTTCCTTTTGGAAAAAAATACGAAAGTCCACATCTTGTTCCATTTAGCACCATCATGGTCTTTGATCTGGTTCCCTCTGTCCAGCGAAAAAAACGCATTCAAGTTAATGGGAGCTGGCTAAGACCATATATGTTTGGCATACATACACTTACACAGTCACATGAGCACAAGTACAGTAAGTTAAAGCAACACACCCACTCAGACTTCCATCTGTGTTTTATGCCACAAATCCCTTTATTTTCTTTTTTATTTAGCAATTAACTTTTCCATTTATTCTGTAGTTAAAAGCTGCCACAAGATGAAAATAGACCAAGTCTGAATTTCTTCTCTCGCACTCTAAATAACATTCAGAGGAGACTCAGTCCCACGTTAGGAAATCTGCGCTTCCCAAAAGCGCCAGGTGTGGCTGTGATTTGGACACGAGTCCTAGACACAGAATAGTCAGAAACACTTTGAGCCCCACCTGGGCTCCCCAGCCGTTGGGTTCTGGCTGTTCTTGTTTATTCCTCGCTCGCAGCAGATGGAGAAAAGAGGCAGGGAACGGGGAGGGTCCTTGGCTCCCTTCCCCATCCACCGGCCAGCGCAGTGTGGGGGACGTTGTCATTTCTCGCTGCCCTGCACCAGAGAGGAGCCGGAGCAAAGCTGGGGCTCAGAGGTGTCCTCACAAGCTGTCACTGCCCCTTCCCGTGGCCATGGGAAGTGCTGAGATCTGCTTTTCGGCGCAGTGGTCCCCAGCAGTGGTTAGCTCTTGGGAGCAATGCTGAGGAAAGCGGTGCAAGGCAGCATCCTCCTCCCTGGGCTCAACCCGGGGTGGCTTCAGCTTTAACTTTTTAATTTCCTGCATCCCTGAGCAACGCAGGAGGGGAGGCTGCGGACTGAGGACCGCTAAACGTGTTAGAACTCATTAGAGACCTTTAAAACTAGCCAAAAGTCTCCAACTTGGGTGCCAGAAGTTAAACACCTAATTCCATATTTAGTCATTTATCTTCACTCCTGCCTCACAGTTTTTAACACTCCCCGTGCCATCTCAAAAGTGGCTGATTTTCAGAGACACCAGGCACCCACCACTCTAACTCAGTTATTCAGACCGCTTACCTAAACGTGAGACTTTGAGTATCAGATTTACATTTTTCTGGGTGATTAAACCTGAGTTCCCTTGCTCCCAGCTCCTGAAAGGAGCTTCGAGAGAATGACCAGCGTTGTAACATATGGCTTAGCAAAGGGGGGAAAAAAAGAAAATTAGTATTAGAAATGGATAGCCTAAAGAATACGCAGGATATATCAGGCACATTAACCAAACATATGGTGCTAAATGAGATATTTTTTTAAAATTGCAAAAAAAATTGACATTCCTGGCAGTCTCAAGGATAATGTGACATGGCTGTGATAAATTTAGAAGAATGGGACATATTTTGGCTTGTTCTTGGAAACCTTTTTCTTGCATGCCGACTGTATTTCTTCTTTTATTAACCCATTCAAAGAATGTTTGAATTTTGCTGCTAGAGCACCATGCTAGCGCAACATAAAATGTGAATGATGCTAATTGCTTTGCACTGCCTAACTTTCTGTCATACCCTCCCCTCTTAAAGGACAAAACACGCTTTGGAAATGAGCTGGCAAGCTCCTCTCATTCTTCCTCTTGGTCAATATTAAGTGATGTAATTAAGCTCCTGTTTGCATATTCTTCTGAACTAGGAAGCAGCCATTTTTTTCTGGAGATCTGATGGATATGATCACTCAAAACAAAATGTGTCACCACAAACTTCAAACAAAATAAAAACATGGTAGAATTGGACAGTTCCAAACCAATACATTTCAGAAATTTTAAAAAAACAACCCCAAAGTAGTGACAATAACGGCAATCAGAGCTATGATAACAAACAAATATTAAAAAATAGGAGTTATCAGTGCTTCAATTTGTCTTTCTACTCAATTTTACCATATAGTGTTACATTAAAATCTCTCTTTTCACATGAAAACAGCCGCCTCGACCTTATAAAACTCATGTCCATATGAACGTGGCGCTGCTCATCATTGCCACAGTGCAAGGTCCCTCATCCACTTTGCTGTAGCTCCTCAAGTTCCAGTGTTTGGATGCAATCCCATGAACTTGCTACAGCTTTAAACAATCTTCCACTGCCCCTTCTTCCTACCGTGGTTTAAATGAGTCGAGCAGGGTACAAAAAATCAGCTTCTTCACTTTCTCAGAAGCTCTATTACCTTAACCATGAGGAGACCTCACTCCTTCCCACCCATGGCCTGCGCAGCCATGAGCTGCATGCGGGGCCTTGTGCCTCCACACGAGACTCCTGCCGCACCTTGCAGTTAGAGCAGCTCACACAGAGCCAAATTTTACTGTGATAATCCCAGTGCATAAACAGTCACTTCTTGTGTCCGCGATATTTTGCACTTAAGAGGGATGGAGCCATAAAACCTTCCCGGGGGCAAGCATAGGCCTTGCCACAGCCCAGCACAGAAGAGGCCTTGTGCCAGCAGCGTAGTTCCTCTACCCCTCCCCAAGCTCAAACATTGTCACTGACCTTTGACTTTATGTTTGGGGCTGCTGTCACTCATTGGGGTGCTTTTGGGACACTAACTTGGTGTTTCCACCATCCCCAGTTCCTCTATCATCAGGAAATCTGGGCCGACAGCACAGTTAATTCCTTCGTGCACCCTTGCCCTGACCATGGGCACTCAAACGCACAGCAATAGCTGCATTACACCCCATGTGCCCTTTGAGCAGAAATTCAGCAGGCTGCGTTGAAGTATTTCATATAAACACTTTAGTTCAATCTCCTTTTCTCTCTTACCTCCGAACTGAACCAACTCTTTTTGCTTTTGTCCCTACTCCAAAGTCCTTAAGACCAATGTAAAAAAACCACCAATATTTTTCTTTCTTTCTGTCAGTTCTAAACTTTTATTTTTAAAAGATTAACTACGTAACCCGTCTTGCTATGTGGAAAAAGCCACCACAGCAGCAAACCCTTGTAGCAAACAGACAGAGGGCTGCAAGAACAACACTGGAACTCTAACCACTCCCTTACTTTATTTAACTTTCTGAAATATAAACTGCAAAACCTCACTGAAACCTTTAAAAGCCCAGCAGCGCAGCATATAAAGTAAAAGAAGGCTCCTGCATATTGCAATCAACATCCCAACGACTATAAAACTAGTGTTATTAAATATAAAGCTAATAATATTGTCCAGGCCCCTCTCCTTACTTTTTAACAATTAAATGCTATAAGAGTTGGAAATAAGTCTGAATGACTTTGCTGGTGGAAGTTCAACTTCCACAGTATCTGATAATTTGCTTTTGCACCTGAAACCTCAACTATTCTGCACCTTTGTTTTGCTACATCCCTACGGATATGCAAAATATCTGATGTACTGGATGTACTGGAAATTAGGTGTTTTCACAGTATGTGCAGATGATCAGAATACCCATATGCCTCTACAGCCATAAAAATATAGGGAATAATAGAGACACACATCCATATTCTTCATCTATATGCTGTAATATTCTTTTATCCAAGCATAAATCGTATGCAGAAAAGGCTTGGATTTTAAGACTCTGTTGCAATATATTAATCCCACTAATTTATTTGGTGCCACAAGCTTGGTACGATATCAAGAGGAGTTAATCTTACAGAATATAACAAACTGATCATATTCACATTTCATCAATTCTGCCTGTCCATGGGAGAGATTTCACCCAATGGCAACTGAACCCTGATTTTCATGGGAAGCCTTTGATACAGTTCAAGGGCATAATAACAACTCTGAAATAATTCCAGCATGGCTCCTAATACCAAGACACAAATACCATTCACCCTTTAAAAAAATCTGAAAGCAAAAGGGAGCCACATAAATATATTACTTCCAATAACCTTTGAAGTCAAAGAGAGTAAGGAGAGGCAGGGTTTGAACTCAGAAAACTTCATTCTTTAGTTGTGCCTTGAGTCGTGCAGCACATTTAAAAGATCCATTTGCAATAATCTACTAAACCAGTGAGTGAAAGACAGAACTCATAAAAAGCCTGTAAAAATCCAAATGCTCCAGCTATTACAGATTTCTAAAAATAAAGCAGAGTAGGTTTCAGTAGCAATAATAAGCTGCATCTTATCCATATTTCAGATTTAAAAGAAAAATATGGCTGCCTTTTAGTACTCATTGCTCAGAGCAAACCATGGCTGCTTCTGCCTCCAAAAAGACCACAAGTAAAAGTGAGCTTTCGGCTTGCTGTTGTACTCCACTTCATTTGTCCTTTAAGTTTTTCTAGCTGCTTCTGCACTCACTTTCACAATGCATAGGCTGTCGTTCCATGACCTAGCATTATTAAATTGCACTTATCAATCATTCTTGCCAGGAA